AATAATTCAATAGATTTATTGGACCCTCTCACCCTGATGAGCGATATTACGCCAAACTCTGAAGTCGTTCAGGGAATTTACATGAACATTTATTGCCTGTTGTTTCGCTAATTATATATTGGACATTATTCTTAACAGAAAATTCTGCTGACCATAAAATACATTAAATTAAATTTACGTATTTTGATTTTACTGATTTGTATTACACACACACACACACACACACACACACACACACACATATATATATATATATATATATATATATATATATATATATATATATAGCACTCCCTCTAAGAAACTGTAAATAAGGTCCGCTCAAAAGAGTTGCAATATAAAACTACAATTTGGCAGTGTGGATGTCGAAGAAACACAAATATTCCTTAACAAGTGTCTGTAACAGCTACTCTAACATATGGACATACTCGGAAACGAACAGTCACGAGCATATGCGTATATATATATATATATATATATATATATATATATATATATATAAAGGTAAAAATGACTGATCACGACTGCTAGTTTCATAAGTTTTCACGCAATCGTCAGGCGGCCGGTGGGTGTGGTTTGTAGAACCCTACACACACAAACAGACACACACACACACATATATATATGCATATAAATATGTGTGTGTGTATGTGTGTAAGATAATAAAAAACGATGCGTTTATAGGTACATTGTATTGTGCCTGAATAATTTTGAATTAATAATCAAAAATTTCTTACTTTCAATATTTACCTCTAGAACTCATTTCCTCATTTTTGTTGTCGCTATCATAACATTTCGGCCGTTGTGCCCACCGGCTTTCTTCGGGTATCTGTTGGTCTAGGTAATTTTCAGTGAATTTCGAAGTTAACCTCTTTATTCAATCTACGCGATAGATCGTTCTCATTATGATGTCCATGTCCCATCCTGATATCCTTAAACATGGACAGCCGGAGTGTACAACGGACAAAAAATTGTGATAGTAACAATAAAGACGAAGATAACTATAAATAATATAAATGGGGATAATCCCTCGTCTCAAGAGAGAAATTATAATTTTCTTTTTAAACAATCCTGAAAAGTGAATAAATTTAAACTCGGCTTTTACATGAGTATATCCGGCATTTATACGTTTTATCTACAAAATTGTATTAATAAGTCGGTAGCGTGACAGTTATGAACTGACTAATCTTTGATCTATGTGATTAATGCTAGGTTAAATGCATTGATAAGAAAGAATATTACATTAAAAAATTATTATTGTAATAAATTCTTTTTTCATCATAAAGCTTCGGATTTATTGATGAACCTACGTAAGACTCTTTTGTTAGTTTGATAATGAAGACAAGTAAGAAAATACAATGCTTATTGTTTGAGAATAAATAAAGAAAACATTTTGTATTTCTTTCTCTGACAGTATTTAAATATGTCGGTTGATTTTGTTCAATGTCTTAAAAATCTATTCCCGTTATGATGCGTTATTTTATATATATATATATATATATATATATATATATATATATATATACGATTAACCTTAAAAGGAGAATAAAAGAAATTTAAAAAATAGTTTACTTGAAAAGAAGTCCGATCAGCCAAGAGACCCCACAAAATACGACCGCAAGCGTTGCAAATTGAGGCAAAAGCTCCGACTAATGAGAGAAAATAGTCATCTCTAATAAACGTTTGTCCATAAGCCTGAAAGACAAAAAGACAATAACAGAAACTAATAAAGAACTATAAACGCATGAAATTAAATTTTCGGCATCAAACAACAACTTATAAATTCCATTAAGAAAAGTAAGAGTAAAAGTTGTTCAACGAAAGTAATATGTTTTTAAACAGACTTGAACGCAGTTACACCCATTAAGAAAGTTCTCTCCCCTTAAATTGAATCTTCTCCTTCACTTCACTGCAGCTGAATTATACCCCTTTCTTATTACAGCAAGTAACGGTTATTTTTTATGTTCTCTTTGACATTCTCCGATGAACATTCGCACGTGAAGTACACAGAATTTAAGGAGTAGATAGGTTTGCCTATCGTCCGGTTCACACTCCTTCCTGATTTTTAACAAGAATAGAGGTATATCCCATGTTTCTTGCTTAAGACTGGGTTTCCAGTTCCTTCTAAAGTCTGCTTCAATTCTATGCTTCTAACGTCTCCGCCTAAACTTTGAAATTTTATTTATTTATTTATTTTTCTCAATAGGAGTAGATAGGTTTGTCTATTGTCCGGTTCACAATCCCCCTCTGGTCTTTTGAACAGGAGTAAACGTTTATCCCTTGTTTCTTGTTAGAATTGGGTTTTTGGTTCCTTCTAAGGTTTACTTTAACTCTATACTTCTATCGACTCACTAATTAAATCTTGACGTCTTCAAGTCTAGATTTAGCCGTTATTTTTCCTGCATAGCCCCAAGAACTCCACCTGCCGTTTCTTACGCTAATACATCATCACAGAGTAACCCTCTACCTTGAGTGGCCCTTTGGTCTTTTATTGGTGAACATTAGCAAAATAAAAAGCTAACGTTACGAGCATTTAGTTTTAACTGAAAAATTCGCATTTGATTGAGCTGTGACAACTATCATATCAGTGTATGTTTGGAGAGAAAATTGGCATATTTTTGCTTATTGGTTCTTACACTGAAAATGGAAGAAAATAAGTAACAGTTTTGGCAGATTATTTATTTTATTCTAAGAAAGTTTTATTTTAAATAAAAATTCAAAACAACTAAAAAAATGAACTAAAACACAAAATATTTGTACGGTTTATGGAGAAGGTAATGAGGATGATGTTTTGAGAAGTTAAACTAGGCTTCCAGCCTTAGGTGCAAATAGTCTAGGAGTATGAATACTCTGAATTCAGAGTTGTAGAGAATGTAACAGGAAACTACTACACTATGTCTCGCAAAAGGTCATGGCAATTTATATGTCCGAAACTTTTTCACATCGTGGAAATAATCAAAGATGCTTCCATCCAATCCAACCAGATGGTAAACCTAGAAGTGGTGAGTTTATTCGCCAAGGTAGCCACGGAGGAATCACTTTCGGTAGTCAGGGACAGACTGGCCTTGGATTCATTTCTAAGATAACGGACCAGTATACTAATAGATAGCCTGATGGAGATGCTGACTTTCTGTACACAAACAACACATTTCGGAATGGGATCAGATATATATCGACAGGAGGAAGTCTTAGCAATGGGCTCGCCATTATCACCAACAATGGAACATACATAGAATACTTCGAAGAAATGGCATTAGAATCCACATCACTAAAGCCAACTATATGGCTGAGATACGTAGATGATACCTTCATACTCTGGCCACACCAGGAAGAGGTCCAGCTGCTACTGAACCATGTGAACTCAATAAAATCATCATTACAATTCACAATGGAGAGATAAAACGAAAGCAAACTTGCTGTCCTGGATGCACTGATATCTCGAACAGAGCATGGGTTCAAAACATCCGTATAATGCAAGCCAACATTCACCGGACAATACCTCAACTTCAACTCCTACCACCCATACAGTGTAAAGAAAGACATCGTCTGCTGTTTACAATATCGAGTAAAAATCATAAGGCGAGCCAGAGACATGAACAAAAGATTGTCAGTATAAGCAGTACCCTACAACGTAACAACTACGCTGGGTAAATGGCAGCAGCTTCGATAAACTGGGATAGAAGGGTACAAGAGGATAACAACATTCAGAAAACAGCTTTGGTCTGCCTATCCTATGTGAAGGGATTATTGGAAAAAATACAAAAGATCTGTGGTCCATATAACACCAGGACAACCTTCAAACTAGTTCGACACTTCGCAAACGCCTCTTCCGGGTAAGACCCCCCTCCATAGAGGAGAGCATAGCCAAGGACTGTGTGCACGCCATTCCGTGCAGCTGTGATAAGAAATACAAAGGAGAAACAGGCGACCCCCTTAAAGTAAGACTGCAAGGACATCGTTTAGTCGTAACACAAGGAGAAATAGAAAAATCAGGCATAGTAGACCACATGTGGAGGAGAAGTGAGATCACTGCCCCTGTGGTATGAGGTTGAAATAATAGACAAAGAACATCACTGGAAAATACGGAAACTTAAGGAATCAGCACATATGCTAGGCCACAAAAATCTAATCCGGCCAAGTATAGAAATGAATACAATATGGGAACCAGTAATAAGGAGTGCTAGAGAAAAGCAAAAAACTAAAAGTTTAAGGATCCTCAAGATTATATGGAAAGACCATCGGATGACAACCGAACTGTTCCAGCGTACCTCTGTAGAAGCCCTTAGTATCGAGGTATGGCTAAGAAGATGAAGGTTCATCAGCCATACTATGAATGTAATGTCGCAATGACAAGAGGATAACCAAGTAAGACTGCGAAAAAGGGAGGGAAGCAATAGACAGAGAGTCGTGAGGTGAGTTGCGAACTGAATATGTGGACAGAATAGAGTAGAGACATTGTATGAAGGTCTCATGTGCTATGAGATACAAGATAGATAGATAGATAGATAGATAGATAGATAGATAGATAGATGGGTGAAAATTACCAAATGAAGAAATCATGAGATGAACTGCAAAAGTGGTGAATGGTTTCTGCAATTGATGATATAAAATTAAAAGAAGCACTATTGTAAAATATCGACGGATTCGGTAAAGTACTGATGGAAAATATAAGAATGGTAGAAGACGGTGTCATAAATGAGTAAATATTGATATAGTGCCATACGATATAGAAAATATCCAGCCATTTAATATTAACGAAGAAATTGATTGATTCATTTTCTACGGCTTATCAACCCTTTGCAGGTTATTTAAAGCCAGAAAATATTTTTAGATCGTAAGAATCTCTTTTTTTTTTAGATATATAATGATTTAGTGATATAAGTCTTACTAATTAACCCATAGCTAGGAGGTGAATTCATACTTTTCCCAAGGGTATTTGCACTCGGCTTTCCGATTAACAATTCAGAGTCATTATCCATTACACCACTCGTACATCCAGACTTACAGCACTTGGTATATCCCAAGCGGTCATCCATCTAGGTACTGACAAAGCTTGACGTTACTTAACTTCGGTGATCTCACGAGAACCAGTGTTTGAACGTGATGTGACCGTAGGCGACTTAGTTCCCTTTAAAGTATTCCCCATCATTTTAGCTTCCTTTCCATTTTTCAAAGCAGTTTGCAAAGTTTGCTCGCTACTAATTGCATGTTTGCGTTCTCCGTAATCTCATCCACGGATTTTCAACAGCGATTTTATCTTTGGCAAAACAGAAGACATAATAACCTAAATCTAGGCTGTAAGAGTGCTAATAAATTCGGGTGTTGCGTTTTTTTTTTCTTATTTGCTAAAATAATCTGCACGAGATATGAAGAATCTACTCTGTGAATTGTTGCCGACTAAAAAGTCCTACGGTATAGTTTCTGTTACTACGTGCGGTATAAGATTCCTTCTAACTGGTTACCAAGTTAGAGGAAGACCGCGCAAGCTGGTCACCAGATATTCAAAATGGTTGAATACTTTTTTGGACAAACCTCATAGAATAACAGGAGATTCTCAGGATTCTTAGTCACTGAAGCAAACTTAGTCACAAGAAGAAAACCTTTAAGAGTGAAACGCTCACTATTCTAAACAGGTACAATAAAATCATTTAAACAGTTCTTCACAGCAAATAATCTCATATTGTTGATAACTGACCTTGTATAACGTTGAAATCACCGTGACCACGTGATTGTTGAAGAATAACAGGAACCACAGGTGGTAAAAAGTTTTCGTTTTCAACATTTGCAAAGGCGTCATATCTTGGCGTCTGGATTCGAAATAAAAAGCAAAAATATTTTAGCGGGGGGATAATTTGAGTTTTTGATGACAAAAGTATTCGCATTAAAACTGCCCGTGTTACCGGCAACCCATTTTGTTTCAGCTAGATTAACAGTACATATTCAAAGCTAACAGAATTAGCGAATCATATGATTCTATAAGAATTGTCATTAACACAATTTATCGCTACGATCTGATAGTTATGAAATGTGAGGATGAAGGAAAGATACCTGTTAATATCACTCTTTTGACTTCAGAATGGGTATATAATTATTCATATATATTTATTCACTTCAGACTTTTTTTTTCACAGATATATATATATATATATATATATATATATATATATATATATATATATATATATATATATATATATATATATATATTCAACAGATTGAATGTAAGATTATGGGTAAATCCCCAACTCCCAACAGCTTCTTGAAATAGATGTAACTTGTTTGTGCCTGGAAGAAAAAATTAAAATAATTAAATATTAAAAAAAAGCAAAAAAAAAAAAAAAACTAGCCAGCTACTGAACCAAATGAATGGGATAATATTTAAATGTCGCCATAAAACAGATTTAAGTGAAATGCAGCCATACATTAAATTGCAATATTTACAAAATATGACTTAATTTCTGTTTTCATATTTATGAATTTGGGTATATATATGCAGGTGTATATATATATATATATATATATATATATATACATATGTGTGAGTGTATATGTGTATATGGATGTATATGTATGCGTATGTATATATATATATATATATATATATATATAAATGTATGTGTATTTGGGTATCTGTATATATATATGAGTATGTTTGTACGTGTATGTTTGTACGTGTGTATGTCTATGCGTTTATATGTATGTGCGTGTTTGTGTGTGTATATATATATATATATATATATATATATGTACGTATTTTATTCTGTTTTATATGCTTATAAAGAGGCGTGTATGGATATGTATGTTGTGCATGTGTGGTGATATATATATATATATTATATGTGTATGTATGCATAGATGTACGTATATGCATGTATGTATTTGTATGTATGTGTGTATATGTGTGTATATATGTATATGTATATATGTATGTGTATACATGTATGTTATGTATATGTGGCTATACACTGTGTGCCAAATTATTATCGAGATAACTTTTTTTCTAATATTTCAAAAACCGTCCAATCAATTCACACAAAATTTTCACCTCAGAACTCTCAAAAGGTAAATCTACCCTAGAAATTTCTAAAATGATAGGGTGGTGTCATCAAACAGTGAAAAAGTTCATCGCCGACCCTACACACGTACGCAAAAGGGCAGATAAAGGCAAGCCGAGGGTTATTTCACGTCGTCTCATGTCACGACTTAAACGAAAGGCCACGAAGAACCCTGGACTTACCAGTCAAGAGCTTTTCAGTCGCATTGGGGATCCTACTGTGTCTAAAAGTACTCGGTGTCGATATCTGGGGGAAATATCAACAACAGTCAAACCTGTATCGAAGTCTCCGTTGACGAGAAATCACATTCAAAATCGATTGAAATAGGCCGAGGACAATATGAAGATTGACTTCTCTAAAGTTTTGTTTACAGACGAAACTCGAGCAACACTTGATGGGCCAGATAGGTAGTGCAAAGGCTGGTTAATGAACGGACAGAATCGCCATCAGCGTTTGAGACGCCAACAAGGCGGTGGAGGCATAATGATCTGGGGTGGTATTATTGGAAAAAACATTAGTGGGCCCATGGAGAGTACCAGATGGCGTCAAAATGACTTCTGATGCATACATAGCGTTTATGAAGGAGCATCTTGAATCGTGGATGAAAAGGCAAAGAGTTGCCTTCAGAAGGGCCATTGTTTTTATACAAGATAATGCTCCCTCACACGCTGCTCACAAGACTACTGAATATTTGAAACAGTTAGGCTTCGATGGACCTCGAAAAATGAAATGGCCAGCAAATTCTCCGGATTTGAACCCAATCGAAAACTTTGGAACATCATGAAGCGAGGACTGTACGCCAACGGACGACAATTCAGGAGCGACGCTGAGTTGTGGGAAGCAATTCTTGACATATCTTGCGGCATTACAGCAGATGACATCCTACAATTAACAAATTTTATGGATCATCGACTTCTTTAAGTAATTTCAAAATAGGGAAAGCACATTCCCTATTAATTTGTTTAAAACTGTGCCTTTGTTTGTATCTGTTATTGTTTGATTATCTTATTTATTAGCTTCTTTTGATCATAAACATTCACGTGCAACATTAATAAACGTTTTGTTTTCTCAATTCTGGGAATTTTACTAAACCTTTCTAATAATTTGGCACGCTCAAATCACCGTGCTGATAACAAATATGGCGCCAGTTTGTTTACATTGCGCAGATCAGTACGAAAATTTCAGTGATCTCGTAGGTCAATGTTGCCAACATTATTAGAAAAACGTTATCTTGATAATAATTTGGCACGCAGTGTATATTGTGTATGAATATGTATGTGTTTTTGTATATGTTGTGTGGGCATTTTATTTTTTTATATATATTTTTATCTATTTTATATGTATGGTTGTTTTTATGTAAGTTTTTTTTTATATATTTATGTGCTTATATATATATATATATATATATATATATATATATATATATATATATATATATATATACGTGTGTGTGTATATGGGGAGTATGCATGTATATGTATGTATATATATATACCCTGCATAGATATATTTACTTATGTGTTTGTATGAATGAGTGTATTAGCATGTGTATGTGTGTATGTAAGTATATGTCTGTGTATGTGTTGAATTCTATAATCATGATAATGAATTAGATATTGAATTTAAGATTTTGTTTTTTATATGTATTATTTTAACTTCCCCGATTATATATGTGTGTGTATGTGCATGATATTATATATTCAATTATTTTATTTCATTATTTCCAATTAGTTATTTTATTTTCATTATTTTCTCTTCTCTCTCTCTCTCTCTCTCTCTCTATATATATATATATATATATATATAGTTGTATATTTAGGCAGCAATTTTTCCTTCATGCATGTTTCATTAAAAACGACAGACAAAGTACTAAGGTTAAGCTTTTTATTTATTTTTTCTTGTGTTCGAACAAGAGCTTTCTTTTCTGGACAAAGGGTGTGTAAGAACTGTCCAAATGTTTTATATTTCCGAGTGCTTTCGGCTATATCTTTTGCTATTTTAGCTAATAACATTAGAGAAATAGATGCACTTTAGACCACATTTGAGAAAAACTCCGTCCTTAACTTTACCTATGAACTTAGCCAAAAAAACAAACATCCATTTTTAGATGTCCTTGTTGAATACAGCAGTAACACTTTCATTACATCATTATACAAAAAATCCACCAGCAAAACATCGTGCCACCTTAACTTCAAAAGCGAAAGTCCATTTAGGTACAAAATAGCAGTAATAAAAAACTTTCTAAATAGAGCACACGAGAACTCATCCTCTCGACTACTCTTCCTCAAAGAACTTAACGTTAAACAAACATTAATCAACAACGGCTTCCCTAACCACCTTATAGACCACCAAATTAGACTATTTCTCCCCAAAGCAAGTAATAACGATAGCGAACACACAGCCAAAAATCACATACACATTTATTACAAAAACCAAATGCATATTAATTACAAACAAGACGAATCTTCTCTAAGGCATATTCTAAAGAAATATACTGCTACAAATGACCCGAATAAAAAAATCAGATTAATTATCTATTATAAAAAAATTTAAGACAGCCAAGCTTATCCTCAAAAATAACAACACACCAGCTAAGTCAAAATTACAAAGAACAAACATTATCTATGAGTTCAAATGCCCCTTAAGGAACTGTGTTCCTGATCAAAACGAACTCATAAATAATTACATCGGTTACACAACCACATGCTTATCCAGGCGTCTTACGTTACACCTATCTGATCACAGCTCCATTAGAACCCATTTAAACACACACACAAATTTACCAGACTCCACTAGGAACATACTAGTAGAAAACACAAATATATTAACTGCATGCACCTGCAAAAAAAAAAGACTAAAAATAATGGAAGCTTTAATAATAAAAAAGAAAAAAGTCAACTCTTAACAATATTAACTAGGAACAAAGCCACAATGTGCTAACCGTATTCGGGAATTAAAAACATCCCTACCACACACTAAGACATACACAGAACGCACACACTCAATTAAGCTGAAAAATCGAATCATCCTTGATAATGGCTAAAGGTATAGCCGAAAGCG